TGAAAAAAAGGCTAGCCACTTGAGATTTGACATAGATTTTAGATACATGTACACCACGCTCCTGTAAGTTAGATTTTAATTGGAAATTTTATGGTATCAAAACTGATTTTGTTCAGTAAGTTCCGAGCCTTGTGCATTTGTGGGACCCATCTCACGAGTGCACGATGTCTGTCGCGCCTCGGATTTGGGTTCTGGGGCGTGACACAGGTTTATAACACTGGCCATGACCTATAGAGAAGACGTCTATTTCGTTCCTGTACTGTATCCGTTTTTTTCGTAATTATACTTGTTGGCATGCTATGAGTTTAATTACGGGCTATCCATATTTACATACTGAGTTATTTCACCTCGTTTTTCCTCATCCACCATTTTAGGTAGTGTGACTCGAGACGCGGGAAACAAGGGGAGTGACGAGCTAAATGGCTAGCTATTGTATTTGGATATAGATTTTGAGTTTAGATTATTCTTTGTAAGTTAGATTCATTATTTTGAGCTTAAGTTGTGTTGGACATGGAATTATTTTGAGATATTTGACATAGAATTATTTTGAGATATTTGACATAGAATTATTTTGAGATATTTGACATAGAATTATTTTGAGATATTTGATTTAAGTTATGTCAGATGTGAATTGGATAAGTTTCAAGCCTTGTGCATTTGTGGGACCCATCTCATAAGTGTACGGCGTCTGTTACGCTCTTGGATTTGGGTTTTGGGGTGTGACAAGACACTTGACTATTAAAAAGAAAAAAAATGGTGGTAATGACTTGTTGATACTACTTTCCCATATTTTTTGTCCACAACTTCTCTCTCTAAGTGATTGTTTGGTGTATAGGTTGAAATCTAACTATTAGTGGTTAGCGAGTGGCAAATGGTGAGTAGCAAATAACACGTAATAGATGGTAGCTATATATAGCAAGAAACAATAATGGATATTAATTTTAATATCTATTTAGGTCATTAGCAGATAAGTCGCATCTTATACTTACATTTTATACTAAATTATTTTATAGGTAAATTTTTAAATAATTTAAATTTTTTAATCCATTAATGGTTTGGGATAAAAAAAAGTTACTTTATGGAGCATTTTCAATCTACTAGTATATTGGCTTTAACTGTTAACCATTACTATCAAACTGCTAAATAACAAATTTCATCCAACACTAAATACTTCGTAATTGGTAAAAAAAAAAGTTAGCAAATACTATGTCACGCCCCAGAACCCAAATTCGGGGACGTGGTAGACGTTGTGCACTTGTGAGACGGGTCCCACAAATGCACAAGGCTTGGAATTTAATTATACACAAAATCTTGAAAATAAAATCTACCTTACAAAAGGGTGATAAAATCTAAAACTTATATCCGATTAGAAATGGCTAGCCTTCTACCTCGTCACTCCCCTCGATTTCCCCGTCTCGGTTTCGCTTCCTGAAATGGTGGACAAGGAAAACTATGAGATAACTCAGTAAGTAAATATGGATAGCCCTTGGGTAAAATTTTAGCATGCCTGATAAACAGTTTAACATAACAAAACATTCAATGATAAACCGTTAATGCAGAATCAAATTCAGTTCAATAGCAAAGCGTTCAATGACAGACAAACCGTTAATGCAGAATCAAATCCAGTTCAATATCAAAGCGTTCAATGATAAACCATTCATGCACCGTAAAATTCATCAGTAGTCTCATCTATAAGTCATGGCCAGTGTTTAACAAACTCCCACTAGCAGGCGTCAGTAATAATCAATGTTTGACCCCATTGGCAGGGTTACAGAAGTACCAGTGTTTAACAAACTCCCACTGGCAGGCATCAGTAATGGTACCAGTGTTTCATAAACTCCCACTGGCAGGCGTCAGTAATTACCAATGTTTAATCTCATTGGCAGGATGAACCGGTTCTACAGAAATACATTTCGACATGTGCTAGCGTTTGCAAACTCCCACTAGCGGGCGTCAGTAATCATGACTATATCAGAGACAAAACCATGCAGAATTTACAGAAAATCCATAATTCACAATCAATCTCAAATTTCAAAAATAAATCAAAAAATTTCCATGTGAGCATGGATTTAATAGAAAAACTCAGAATTTACAAAATTTTTCAAATCATCAGAGCAGTTCAGTAAATTCCAAGTAGGCATGCTCTACTTAATGCAAATGAAAACAATTTCATGTGGGCATGCTCAACTCCAAAAAAACAATGAAATTCTCATTTTCATTCCAATCTTGCTCAATTCCAGAAAATAATAATTTTCATAAAAATTATCAAAAATTTCATTTTAGTTTAATCACACTCAAATGTTGATAAAATCAATTTAAAATCAATTTAAACCTTACCACCATCTCAAAAACAATTTAAACCATGCTTTGAGATCGAAGGGGTTTACCATAATTTATTTACCTCACTCGCATAGAACAGAAGGCTTAACCCAAGTGCTACGGTGACAGAACGATCCAAACCTAATCACAATATTCCAAAGTTGATACCTTGCTACCACAAATTCACAGTGAAATCATCATTAGGACTACCCCTAATCAAGATGCTATTTCTATCAGTCTTCACATGACCAGACATCTCCAAATTTGTTCTTATATTACAAACTAAACATTTAAATCCCTGTTAATTATTGGCCATCAGTGCATGAATAGTGACCCGTGAATAGTAACTTATCTTCCAAAAATTGGCAAAACAATAACTAATCTCACGGGATTTTTCTCCAAAATCACAACAACCCAATTCAAGCTAATTTACACTTAAACCAAGCTTAAAAACATAGCTTAAGCTACCAAAATTTCCCCATTTCTCACGGGCAGCACGTGGAGAGCATGGCTTTAGCAAACCACAACTCACACACATGGGATTTTCTCTCCAAAACATCACAACAGCATAATTAACAAAATTCCTACATAAACCAAGCACAAAAACACATTTTAAATGCTGCTAAATGCTACCAGAATTCGTCCCCCATTTTAGCAAAATTCGGGCAAGCGCAGGGCAGCACTTAATGGACAAAACCCAACAATTAAATGGGTAATTTTGGACTTAATAGGGCTGTCAACATACCAGAATTTCCAGCCAGCTGCAGAATCGGACTTGGCGGAGGGAAGAAGCCAGCGGTAAATTTTGCAGGGGACTCATGGGCTACTGGAAATTGGAAGGAAATAAAAGCAATTAAAGTAAACCCAGCCTAAATCAAGCTAAAAAGCTCAAGTTCATGGCTGTGGCTTACCCGAAAAAGCCAAGAATTTCGTGCCTAGCAGCACCGGTGGATAGGGGAGGAAGAGCAGAGCAGATCCGGAAATTAATGGGTTGAGAGAGAGAATTCTAAGCCCCAAATCTTGTGATTGAACAAGAAAGAAGGAGAATTTCAAGCCTTTTTACCGGTTTTCAAAGGAAGAGGAAGTCGGTGGCTTAAGGGGGGCTGGTCGAGGAGTAGAAGAAGAAGGGCAGGTCGCGCGTCTGATGAGGAAGAAAAGAAAAAAATATCTAAGCTTGATCCTTATCCTAATTTCTTTTCTTTTTGTCCCTCAACTTTTGAAAATTGTGCTGTTAAGCCCCTCAATAATATTTTCTATCACCAAGGTCCTTACTCAAATGCTAAAATATCACCAAATTTTGGGATATTACATACTATTATGCAATGATTTAGAGAAAAACACTAACCACTAACTCCAAACCACTATATACCAGACAGTTGCTAAAAAAACCCTAATCAACCTTATTTTTCTTTCTTGTATAGCAACCTTCTAAAATTCTTCTAAGTATGCATTGTTACCCCAAGAATTTATATATATAAGATGCGTTGTTTTTAATTTTTCTCCCTTTTGGATCTTCATTACATATTTTTGTCAATAAGGACTTCTCCATCTTCTTTGGCTTTCTAATAATAGTTTTACAGTAGTTAATTGATTTGTATGACATGTGGAGTTATTGGTCATTCATGGCATTAGAAGTAAAGATGATTTTTGGATGAACTAAATAGTAAGATATGAAATGAAGTCAATCTTCTTAGGGATTGCATAAGGATTTGAGATACTAGGTTTTTTTGTTATTATTTACTTATATCTAAACTCAAACTAATTCTCTCTCATGAGCATAGTTGTCTTTAGCTGAAATTCCTTCTCCATGAATCATTGTCTCAAGTGCCCATCTCACAATCTTTGGCTTCCTTATCAAAAAAAGTAGAGAATAACCTTGGAAACAATTGACATAATTCAACATCACCCACCCATTTCTCCCTATAATGGTAGCTTGCCACATCCCCAAATTTTACTTCAAAAATTGATTGAAGCCAACCTATACTACTAGGGACCCACTCATCAACACTACACATATATTGCCACCACCTTGTTCCTAGCTCTTGATCTTCACTCACCTATTGCAACCAATTTCATCCTATTGACCCATATTATTATTTTGGAAAAATAATTGGTATACGTTCAGTTTATTACACTTTTTAACACTCATTTGATTTATCTATGAAAATATAATATAAATATAAACTGAGTCAACTAGTTTTTGTATCCTTTATGTATCACTCAATCTTTAAGTTTGTCTATTTTTAATTTCAAACCACAAAACACTGATTTTTTAATGAGTATATTGAGTAGTGTGTTAAATTAAAATGCGTACCAATCAATGTTCACTTTTTTCTCAAAACTTTCTCTCAAAGAGCTTTTCCTCCTTTTTTCTACTACACTCCTTCATCTCACCCATGCTATCTTTTTCTTTTCTTTTCCTCACCCCCTTGCAAAAAGCCTCATCAAATTAAGTTAATCTCTTTGAACACATTACTTAGAATTAAAAATGTAGACACAAGGAAAACCAAGGAGTAGCTCGTCACAAAATTGATCAAAATTAACCTCTCACCTAGAGAAAGATGTTTGCTTTTCCAACTTGACAACTTCTTTTTTGAACCTCTCTACAAGTTCCTTCCATGTGCATTTCCTTTTAACATGACCTCCAACTAGCATGCCAAGATACTTGAGAGGTAGTTCACCCATTTTGCAATTCAAAAATACTATCATTCTCCTCATTGCCTACTCACCCATATTTACTCCAATCACTTGACTTTTGTTGTAATTAATTTTTAAACCAAACACTAACTCAAAAGTCCTCAAGACACCTTTAACTACCTTGACATTCAAGTTTAAAGCCTCCCTAAATAGCACTGTGTCATTTGCATATTATAAATGAAATATTCTCAAATAGTTTTTCCCCACTAGCACACCTTCAAATAAGTTTGCTTTCAAACAAGTTTTCTCTATTGCAAAATTGATGATTCTATTAAGTCCTTCCACGAAAACAAGAAATTAAAAAAAAAAAAAAGGGATAGATGATCCTTTTGTTTTAATCCTTTACTAACTCTAAATTCCTTTGTTGCATAGCGATTTAGCAAAATAAATATTAAGTTTGACTTCAAACATTCATTGATCCAATTTCCCCAAACCTCATCAAATCCTATGCAAGCCATCCTGAACTCCAAAAAATCCCAATAGACATTATCATATATGTGCCTTCTCAAAATTTTCCTTGAAGACAATTACACTTATCAACAACTTTGTTTGCAAAAATTATATTGTTTGGCAGTATTCTTCTTTACACCAAAGGAGTTTGGTTTTCACTAATAATCTTATCCATAACTAGTCTTTACTTTTTAGCTAACTTAGTAATGACTTTGTACTTGCACTTGATTAGTGAGATGAATCTATACTCAATCTTCACAGGATTCTCCATTTTAAGAATTAAGACAAGAAATGAGGTATTTGAACCTTTAACCAATTATCCATATTCATGAAATTCATGAACAAAAGTGCATACCACTTTTTTCGTTGACTACCACATTACTTTAATGAAATTCAAGTTGTAATGATCCGATCCAATTGTTTTTGATCCATCATAGCTCCAAACTACTTCTTTGATTTCTCTAGCATAGTTCCCTCATGAGTAACTTCTAACTTATCCAATATTTCTTTAGCACTTACACTTGCGCTAATGTAATCAAATTCAAAAGGATCCAATGCATAGCATAAAACAGTTACGACTTTAACATTCAATTGTACTCTTTCTTTTGTTACTTTTATCAAATTCTTTTAGTCTCTTAAGAATCATCTCTTTTGACTCCTCACTCCTTTTCTTCATTGGAGCAAAGGGACCATCATGAATTACCTTTCGTAGGGCATAATCCATGCCTTGAAAGAAAACCCTTATCCTATTTTTCCAATAGGCGTAGTTTGTTTCGTTGAAGAGGGGAGGATGAGAGATAGATTGTCCTTCAAAGAATAAAAAGTTTTGATTTGCCATGGATCTTAACTCAAAGAGATTTTAGTATTGAAAATCAAAGACTTGAGCCAAGGGTTGGATACCATTTATTGGCCCAAAAGATGGCAACCCAAGAGTGGGAGTGAATTAGGTTCTTGAAAACTTATGCAATTTTTGTGTTTAAATTAATAAACAAACAAATGCAAGCATGCACAAGTAAACTCAATTGTAGAAATTAAAAGAGTAAGGAAGAGAAAAATCAAATACAATGATTTATAGTGGTTTGGTTTCAATTTGTGCTTATTCTACTCCTTAACCTACTTGCTTGAGAGTTAGGTTTGTATTTAAATGTGCTCCTCCAACTTGTGGGTGTGGAGGCAATTATATATAATAGCTTTATTGGTGCTATTCACCTTTAACAACTAGCCCCCTTGTTACAATTTCTCTCAAACTCCAATTTTAACCACTAGGAAGAATTTCTAGATCTAACGAGGATTAATCCCCAAATATGCGCTTACTCACATAATGAAATAGAGATTAACAAAATAGACTACTAAGAAATTGAGTAAATAATGAGAGGCATAAAAACAAGACTTGAAGATTAAGAGTATTTTCACAAATCCACACTTAGGGTTTTTTGCTTAGTTTTTGCCGCCTTCTCCAAAATATCTTTTTAAACCCTCACGTATAAATCCAAGCCAAACTAGTTATTGTAGCTCATAGTAAAAAGTTCTTGATTTCATTTAATTTCAAGATTTAGCCAAAGGTTCTAGAGCTTGTTAATATATTCTAGAACTTAATGACTTTTGTGCATTCTTGAGAATGGTTAGTGGGCAACAATGTTTTGAAACCTAAAATTGAGTTATGGATATAACATATTAAAATATTTAATTTGAAAAAATCATGTAAGGAAATTCTAACATAAATATGAAACCTTATAACTTGGAAAATTGAAATACCCATTGCGTGTGATATTCACATTTGGAAGCCTAATTTTTAGCCAAGTATATTAAAGATGAGATTAAATATCTTCTAAAAGAAAAGTGTAGCTCTTTTCAAGAATTTATTTTTAAGGTAAATGTAAACACTTTAAGTTTAATTGTAGAATTCAAAAACTTAATTTTCAAACTTTCTACTTTACATGTGATTTTGGTGATCATAAAAAATTAACATCAACAATCTCATTAGTGTTGTGCAAGAGAAAAGAAGACAAGGTGGGTGTACAGTAGTGGCGATGGTGATAGCAGCGTCAATGGTTGTAACGGTGGTGATGGTGGTGGTGGTGATGGGGTGGAACTTCATCTCCAATCTACCAACATGTTTGACTTGTGGAACAAAATTAAAATCCTATTTTTCCGCCTATTTTCTTCTCTTAAAAACTAGGAGATTGTGGTAATTTTGGAAACTTTGAAGTTAAATGGATATCAACCCCTCTTAATGGGATGTCGATCAAGGATATTGATAAAATGTAGGAAGTGCTATTAATGAGATCGCATTTTCTTCAATATTAATTTGTGGGATCTTATTCTACCCTATATTGCGCACTTAATTATAGGTAGCGTGTGGGCTTATAGTAACTTGGGGCTTTTTTAGGACTCTCTTGAGTTGTTCTTCTAGATTCTAGAAGCCAACGAAATAATTTTTTTTTTTATAAGATGTAATAATTAAGTTCTATTGCAGTGTGTGTAGTAGTTTTGAGTTTTTGGGACTCCCCTGCTCTATTTCTTTAGTACTAAGCTAATTATAGAATTCTGGACAAGTATTGAGTGGGAATTGGTAACAATTATAAAATGTTTTGTTTTCTCCTGCTATCAAACTTGTATTTCATGATATTTGTTAATTAATGAGACTTTTTTTCCATTAGTAAAAAAAAAAGTTTGAAAAGAAAGTAAAAATAGATAATTTTCCATTCTCAATATTAGAAGTGAAATTACTAAATTTATTAAAAACATGGGTCAAATGCTTTTAAATGCCAAGGGGAAATTCTTGCTGAATAATCTTTATTCTCATAAGAACTAGTTTGGTATGGAGTGGAGGAAAGGAAGAAGAAACTCGTCTTTTTATCCAACAACCAGTGTGGGAGAGTGCCCATTTTTATACATGATAGTATATTGCTTGGGGCAGACATAGATTCATGATTGCTA